CATAAAGCCTCAATTAGCATGGATTCGGGTGGCAATAATCAGTGGAAATCACTGAATTGCGTAAGAGGAATACTCTGATAGGACTTGGATTGCAGGCTAAAAGGGCAGACTCGGATTAACACTTCTAGCAGAGTGGGGATATGAGGGAACCAGATAAAAGTGTGTGTTGGTTTCATTAAATCTACTTCACATCAGAACCAGGCTTAAATAAGCAGGTAAGAAATTGTGACATTAAATGGGTGTTTCGAGGAAATAGGATAGATGTATACACCAGGACGGGAGAGATACCCCAAATTTTTAGCAGACAATTAGTCAAAGGATCGACTTTACTTGTCTCTTTGACGAGTTGTAGTGTTGTGCTAAGAATGACAAGGCTTGTTGACGATGCCGGCATCTGGAAATGTACCAAGTCCACACTCCAACTCTAGAAATCGTCAGGCACACTGTGGACTCGAAACAAGCAACGTTCCTCAAGGTATCTCTTACAATACAAGCAAGCTGCGAAAACACGGTCAAATATCTTCAAGAATAAGGAAGTTAGCAGGATTATAGAGATGCTGAAGTAGTATAACCAGATAATGAAGGGGGTCCATAAGAAGGAGTAGTTGAAGTTATGACAAGAGTTAGTTATAAAAAAAGTTAGTTTCCTTATTTTGCGAGACTTTGGGGAGTAACGTAAAGGCAATATACAAGGGTTGCCACCATAGCTTTTAGGTAGCATAAAACTGGAAAAGGTCTGAGCATCACGAGTTAGCTGCAATCGCGTAGACAAAGCTCAATAATGGAAAATTTAATTAATGAATTCCTATGAATTCATTAAGAAAATTGAATAACATTATATTTGCATGTAAGTTCCGATGTGGTGCCGGTGTATATTGATATTCCGGTAAGCAGAGCATTATATGCTTCAAATTCAACATTATATCAACTCCCGGGAATTATAAAGGGTAGATAATTTTAGTGAAGTTAGATTTACACATCTGTTCTTTTACCTTTACACTTAAATGGTACGAATAAATGCAGTTTAGCTATGAAATCATGTTTGGTTCCAAGTTAGGTAGCTCAATTATATGTTTGTGTAATATAAGCAGCACTCCTGGTTTCTAAGAATTTGGCGAGATATATGGAAGACTAGTTCGGCATTTCGAGGAACGGGAAAGAATAGGGGTAAATCTCTGAATTTATCGAAAATAATAGATGCTGATACAAAATTTTGTATGGAATAAGATAATAATAGGTCAACGGTTTTTTATGTCACAGTAAATAAGAAAGGAGCCATAATGAGTGGGGATAAGCATATAATAGCTGTAGATGGGGATGTATTCCTTAATTTTTCTATAATAAACTTTGCAGGATTAGAATACGTCACATCAAGTAGATCAAGAAATGGGAATATGGAAACAAATTTTGGTTAAGAGCAAATTTTCCTGGATTTAATTAATAGCGTCTTTACAATTCTAAGGAGTGTTATGGATACTAACAACCTTTACGGCATGATTCGGGCAACCTTACAGTTTTTGATCTCGCCATCCTGTGCGAAATCGGAAAAAATGTGTGAACTATTGAAGTGCTATGGAATTATAGTGATATGGAGATATTAACACTTCTCACAGTAATAGATCATTTTCTGAAATATTTGTGCCCTTTCTCAAAATCAGATGGTTTCAATGTTTTTTGCTGATGAAATAGAGGGAAAAAATAAATCATTTGATTTGTCTGTAGTATAGTTAGGACCTTGAAGATCTCAGTTGTCTACTAAGCATAGCAAACTTTTAAAGACAGATTGTAACACGCAGCGAACTTGTGGTATTAAACTCCAGATTATTTAAGTAGGCGTACAGGTGTTCGGAAGCACTGCATACACAAAACTCATATAAAAGCGTGAAATAGACATAAAGCTCATACGATGACTCATCGATAACTCAACATTAGGTTATACGAAATAGGTAGGATTGCAACTGGCAGCCATTTCTGACTCAGTTTTTGATGAATTTCCTTGAAACCTGGTTTTAAGCCCTGACGATATCTGCTAACTATAGATGAAAGCTATGCACGGTTTTTTCGGGTTCGCAGGAATGTGCATCGATAACTTCAGTGCTCAATTGGGCAATTACCAAACCCAGCATTTCACACAAAACTAAAGATTCAATTATATTACAATATTGAGAAATTCTCAAAGTCCCAGTTTTTCTTCACACATATTAGTAAATATTGTTCGTGCTTTGTTGACGCATTTAATTTTAGTATAATTAATAGAAAGCTGTGGAATAAATTTTAAATGTGGTTCAGCATACACAAAAACTTGCAAATGCAAACAAGTCAACTTCACATAACTAGAATGCTGAGATTTTTCTTTAACCAATGACAGATTTACTTACGTACACTTTAAAAGAGAGCGCTTAATCATCTTAAATTTGATTTTGGACAAGAACTACTTTAGATAAATTTATATTAATGGAATGAAGAACTGTATGGAAACCTCAGATGCACTCACTTAAATACTCTACAAGTACTCCTTTGCCCGGTAAAAGATGTCTGACGCCTCTGAATTCCTGGCTGGAGTCGTTGAATGACCAAGTTGGAGGTAAGCCTAGGAGATTAGCATTGCTCGTGAAGCGCAAAGCACGAACGTTAGAAAAGGGACCAAATGAAAGTATCCGCGGTTGCAGTAATCTATCCGAAATACTGCTATAGTCCCCAATAATTGATGCTTGTTGATGAAGATCAGACGATGCTTCCAGCGCGTCAGGCTGCTCCCCAGTGCATAAGGTAACAACAACCTCCTCCTTCCAATTGTTATCCAACACCACAGATTCACCATTTTTTGAAACTTTCAGTGCAGCTATCTGCTGGTTTCGTTCCCCAGCACTCCACGATTCAGCAGAAAGAGATGATGCAAAAAATGATTGTTCCGAACCTTGGATAGAGCCATCAGGTAAATCTGAAGATGAAATGACAGATTCACGAAGCGAATCAGCAGAATAAGTAGGTGAAATTGATGATGGTGACTCGAGTCTGATTGAACCATGAGATATACGAGGAGTAATGGCTGAGATCTGAAAAAAATCACGGCTACATGCATCGCCCGGATCAATGTGACACTCTCCCTGTGTAGTGACGCCGTTTGATGCTAATTTCCTACCTAGAATACCTGGATGAATAAAAAAGTTCCAAAGGAAAAAAAAACCATGTAAGCTGAAATTAGTAATGAAATCCAGAGATAAAAGCTCGATGAGTCAGCACTTTTAGAACAAATCCGAATAATAACAATCATTAAGAACACCAAATTTCGTCGCCATTTCTCGCCACTTCGTTATAAGCACAGCCAATGCTTTTTAGCACCACTTTAAATCTAGGTGTGGTTAACTAAATTACCCTAACCACTTCTCAGAGTATATTAAGAAGGCTATAAAATACATTGAGTCATCCGTATCATCTCGTGCCATTAGATCTGCATGCTATTAAGTCACGCACACATGTCCTTCCTAATCCATAACTTATCTGAATTTTAAAAAATGAAAATAAATTTGTCTCGAGAATATGTAAGCTGTCTCTATCTTATTATTTCCCTAATATAGTGAGTGATATGTAAACATGATTGGAATCCAGATGTAACCTTGATTTCGTCGACTGGCTAATAAAGCAACCGATTCCTCCCTTAATATATATTCTCAAATACATAATAGCAACTGAGCATCATGATTGGCGCATAAAAATGACTTACTTTGAGCCAAAAATTAAATATAAACTTTTGTCGAGATGTAGACGTCATAATCTACCGACATCCACAAATAGAGATCTAGATCAAGTATCGTGTGGTTTAGATAAAACTAGACTCAAGGAAAGCATTAGGAGACTGCATCAACTAATTAGAACCAAGACTAAGCTTAGACAA